ATGTATGCCAAACGCGCCTTTCGTCTACAAAAGAGACGGAAGATACCAAAGAGACAGTCAAACTCAAAGGTAGAAAATAAACTGACAAGGCCATGGCTAAAACCCAAACTGACAATGCCATGGCTAAAACCCAAACTGACAAAAAGACACCAAACAATATACTAAACACACAAAACCGGATGTGATTTTATGTACTGTTTGTTGATGATTTACATTCATGGAAAGCGTTCAAACCAGAACAATTTAAAGCCAAGGATTTATGATAACCGAAACAGTTGAAGTATGTGACCATAGAGAACCTGTAGTTCAGTAGTTGTCGTCGGTTCGTGTCTGTTATATTTGTTTTTCGTAAATTGTTTTGTTATAAATTAGCAGTTAGTTTTATCAATCGAATTGTTTTATATTGTTCATGTCGGGCTCGTTTATAGTCGACCATACTGTATGGGTTTTTCTCATTGTTGAAGGCTGTACGGTTGCCTATAATTGCTTACATTCACTTCATTTTAACTTTGGTGGATAGCTGTCTCATTGGCAGTCATACCACATCTCCTTATTTTTATATAAACAAAACTGGTTAAATCAGCCTAATGTTAACTTTAATTTCATGTGTTGAAACCTACCTTTTTAATGATTTCTAAATATATTAAGCGAAACTTAGAAATCATACAAATATCACATTTCAATGTTTGGCATGATTAATGACAATACTAATTCAATAATATGAAAAAACAAGCTGTCATCTTAACATGTTCACTTTACTACTTATTCAATTAATGTCATTGTCATTTCTATAATGCATTGCTTAATGGTATGCTGTATTCTATGAATATTCATTTGAATATTTCAGCGTGTAAGTGTCAAATAGCAAACAGAAAAAATTATTTATGCAATTCATAATATAACGATATTTATATTTATAGAATGGTGTTAGTAGAGTAGTAAAGTAAAACAATAAACATACCATGAAAATGATGTGTGATAGACCCGCGTTCCGTCTACAAAAGAGGCGGAAATACCAAACAGACATTCAAACTAATTAGTCGAACATAAACTGACAACGCCATGGCATGAACCTCAATGGACAAAACGACAAACAACAGTATACAAAAAACAAAAAAACCGGGATTGATTTCATGTGCTGTTTTCTAAATTTATCTTAACGGGAAACGCTCAAAGCAGAAATGTTTAAATCAGAGGACGTATAATAATCAACATAGTTCAAGTATATGACCATAGAGAACATACAATAATTATATAAATTTAACGTCAACATTACTTGAGGGTGTTAAATTTATAAAGCGACACTTTAAAATCATACAAATATCACATTTCAATATTTGGCATGGCTAATGACTTTACTATTGAATAATCTGACAGACCAAGCTGTCATCTCGAAATGTTCTACTATCACTTTAATACACATTCAATTAATTCCATTATCGTTGTAATAATTCATTGCTAAATGGTATGCTGTATTCTAAGAATATTTTTTTGCATTTTTCAGTGGGTAAGTGCCAAATAGCAAACAGATAAGTATAGCGTACAATTATATATGCAATTCATAATATAACGATATTTATACAATGGTGTTAGTAGAATAGTAAAGTAAAACAATAAACTTACCATGAAAATGATGTGTGATAGACGCGCGTTCCGTCTACAAAAGAGGTGGAAATACCAAACAGACATTCAAACTAATTAGTCGAACATAAACTGACAACGCCATGGCATGAACCTCAATAGACAATACGACACACAACAATATACAAAAAACAAAAAAACCGGGATTGATTGCATGTGCTGTTTTCTAAATTAACCTTAACGGGAAACGCTCAGAGCAAGCTGTCATCTCGAAATGTTCTACTATCACTTTACTACAAATTCAATTAATTCGATTTTCGTTGTAATAATTCATTAATAAATGGTATGCTGTACTCTATGAATATTCATTTGAATTTTTCAGCATGTAAGTGTCAAGTAGCAAACAGATAAGTATAGCGTACAGCTATATATGTAGTTTATAATATAACAATATTTATATAATTGTGAACGTAGTGTAGTAAAGTAAAACAATAAACATACCATTTTAAGACAGAAATAGTCGAAAAAAGTATTTAAAAATGGGTTGGTAAAACACTAATATCTGATTTTCTTTAAAACAATCCTTTTGCAAAAGATTATGAGAAATTGTGTTTTTAAATTATTGTTGTCAAGTATTGAAATATGAGAATACATAATGAAATAATATGACTTGATTATGACAGGCGATTAATAGTTTATAAAGCTCGAATCATGTGATTATTTATGCAACCACTGGATATGCTAATTACGTGAAAATATCCAAATTGGTATGTCCTTATGTTTGCATAAAGGAGACAGTAGTTAACCGATGTCCAAAGTGTGACTTTGGGTTTAGTCTTGTTTATTCTTTTTGATTATACCTATCATTTAATTGCTTTTCAAACAATAGAATGTTGTGCTATATACCATGTATATACTCCTGATTATGCAGTTACTACTCATCAATAGGCGATCAGAATTTTTTGTTCTACTATTATTGCTATATAATTTACCACTGGACACCATAGATACAAAACGCCTATAGACAAAATTGATGTTATCGTGATTTTTTTAAACTCTAAAAGAGAAGATAATGACTTTACAACTATTTTTGGGATATAGATATTCATGTTCACCACTTGGTTTGTCATTTTTTATATCTATACTTAGTTTAAATAGCAACCACATTCAAGAAATCACAGTTTCTAGTTAAGAAAACCAAACACTTCAAAACAATATGCTGAACATATTCAGTAAAATTTATAAACTGGTGTTTTTGAGATGAGTATTTGCTGTATCGTGATTGTCTTAAATTATTCCTCAGATTTTAAACCTGTATTTTTTTTTTTATTTATTTTTCAGTCCAATGTTAGTGTTATGTACCATAAAAGATAATCATTTAAAAAAAAATGAAGAATGAAAGAACAATAGATAGTGAATGTTGTGTATGGTTTTTTTTATTGAAATTGGACAATTTAAAAACAGTTCTAAACAATAAAGACGCAATTATATAGAAATAACAAAACCCATTCGTATATTAGAAGCAATGCGATATTTTTGATCAGTAAAATTTTAAATGAAATGCTAAGAAGTCTTAATTCAAACGTGAACAATAAGACAATACAATTCATATTGTTCCTTGTTTTTTCTCTATATCGTGATTGTTTTAAATTATTCCTCAGATTTTAAACCTGCATTTTTATTTATATTTTGCAGTCCACCGTAAGTGTTATGTACCATAAAGATAAGTATATTGTGACTAGTTTACAAGAAAGAAAAATGAAAGGACAATAGATAGTGAATGTTGTATATGGTGTTTTTATTGAAATTTGAAAATATAAAAAAAGTTCCAATCAATAAAGACGCAATTATATAGAAGTAACAAAACCCATTCGTATATTAGAAGCAATGCAATATTTTGATCAGTATGATTTTAAATGAAATGCTAAGTAGTCTAAATTCAAACGTGAACAAATACACAATACAATTCGTATTGTTATTTATAAATATCTTTAATAACACCTTGTTTTTTCTCTAGTATTATAAAAAAAATATTTCAAGTATTAAATACTTTCTTGAATATATTCAATGTAATATTTGTTATTTTTACAAATCTAAATATTATAAATGTCTTTATCTCAATGAATAATATATTGAAACACAAAGATTGATAATTTTATTTAGACAAAATGCTTCCAAATTGATTTAAACGTTGTGAAGGTAAATCATTAGGTCTTAATCTACTGACAAATGCACTGTCAATAGTAACAGAGTATTCCATAAAACAGTATAGAAACTTATTAAAGAGATCAGGTCTATAATGTTGTACATGTATCTGTAAACGGACAATATTTGAAAGTTTTATAACCTTTGATATGCACAGTTAACTAATTATAACTCACATATGGAAGTTTTATATTTTTTAATTGATAAAAGAACAAACATGTTTTTCAGTTGTACTTGTTATTTGTTATGACAGTAAGACAAAACAGGCAAAAGAAGACTGAAGTTAAAGCTTCAGAAAACATTGTATGTTTGTTATTATAAAATATTACAAACACAAAACTTTAATTTTTGACATGATTAATTGGTATGGTTACATTCAACAAAAAGCTGTCAGTTCTACTATCACTTTACTACTTATACTACGGTGGCTTCTATAACACTTATACTACGGTGGCTTCTATAACACTTATACTACGGTGGCTTCTATAACACTTATACTACGGTGGCTTCTATAACTCATTGCTAGATGGTATGCTGTATTGAATGTTCCTTTACTTTATTTTATTTTTTTTGCAGTATGTAAGTGAATAGTTTCAAACAGATAAGTATAGTTTACAATTATATCGCAATTTATAACATGACGATAGTCTTTGAAACTTGAATAATTTACTTAATTATGCAGGTTGCAATAATCGGAATGATCTAATTGCGTAACGATATTCCAAGTTATCTAAATATCGTATATGTTTTGTATGTTCGTATTTCCGAAAAAGGTGACAATATGTCTAAATTGTAACAATATTTTTTTATGTTGTGTCTTCTTTCTTATTATTCAGTTCATGTTATATATCTATATGTCCAAGCAAATGTATCAATTCCCGATATGTACATACTTTGCTGTAAACCAGAATTCCTGGTTATTTTATTAATCGTCGCCATTCAAAGTTGTTTCCGATTAATAATAAATGTATGACGTCTGTTTTTAAAACATAGTTCTAAACTTACAAAAAACCATCATGTGTTGTCCGTTGTGTTATTTAATATATATATATCATACCATTACTATTTCAAATATATGCATTATTTAACTTTAGTCGGTAACTGTCAAGTAACAAATCGAAAACTTAAACTAAAAACTTTGAGCATTTGTTGCCATAGGAATCATATGACAAATGGCAGTCTTCTTATAAAAGTGGAAAAAGGTGATAGTTGCAATGTTTAAAAACTGTTATCAAGATGCATAAATAACACTGTTACTTTGCTTATAAAAAAATCAAATAAACTTGAATATTTTAATTTGATAAATTATGTGTTCAGTCATTAATCTATAAGCGAATAGAATAAACATTACAACATGTGGTAGAATTGACAATGAGACAGCTACCCAATATAGAGTAAATTATGTTGACGGTAGTTGCAATAAGTCACATTACGGGCTTTTCCAATAGTGAGAAATACAAATACCGTATATTAAGTAAGCTAAACAAAATCCCAAATTGACAATATGTCAACCATTTCAAACTATAGAACTTACACTGTTAGGTCCAATAGGTAAATAAATTTTGACAAAAGTCCGACGATGATATATTATGTTCTCATTGTAGCTGTACCTGTGGAAAGTAAGTATTGAAGATAAAGCTTACGATTTATATTTTTCGTCGATGGCGCGGATGTACAATATATGCATTAGTCGTCAAAAGAAGTACATACAATCATTATACAAAATTGTATCACTGATAGCTGTACACGTAGTATCACATGTTTATTTTCAATTAATTTGTTTCATACTTAAAATTTACATGAAAAAGTACAAAACATCTAATTACTAACTGATCGATAAGGATAAGTACAAAATGGCACTTTTCTGCGGTAGTATCTTTTAAACTTGTTTGAGTAAAGAGATAACGTAATTCATGTTTGCAAGTTGCTTCTTATGAAGGACACTATTTATTTAGTTAAGTGGTAATGTCGTCTCTGACATAAATCGGTTCCATTTGAAAAGATTGGTACTCTTATAGACCGGATACATACTCATCATATACAGATAATTTCAACAAATAAAGTGACTATATATATTTATCAAAATACAGAGCTAGCATGTACTGTTTTTTAATAGAGGATCAATATCACACTTTTATAAAGGGGAGATGCAGTTCTTGTTGAAATGTCAACACGACTTGTATGACTGTTGTTCCTTAAAACTGAACGTAAACAACATCAGTCCACACTATTTATGGCGTCAACTCGTGCCCAAATACAAGATCAAACAAATGAACCAATAACAGTCCTAAAGGTGGCTGTGGTGACTTTCTCCATCTTGGATTTTGAAGCAGCAGATAACAGTTGGTCTAGATCTTTAATGATATGTGCAAATTTTGAGAGTAGTATGTAATTCATGTGTAAGACTTTTCATGTTAATATAGAAAATTATGTGGTTTATCATATTTACGGCTGTTTTTTTTCTAAAAAAACACATTGTTTTTGTTTGATTCATTTTTTTTTTCAACTTTGCCACATAAGGAGAGATAACTCAGATAAAGTAATTTTTTATTAAAGAAAGTGTTATGAATTTACCTATTTTAATATGTAGCAAGAAAACAAGTCCGGTGACCCCATTTTTTCTTTTTCTTATCTGAAAGCATGTGATAAGAGCTATCTTCTCACATTTTATATTACAATTTTATGGTGTAGTTTTCTTTTTATGACACAAAATTGGATTTTCCATGTATAATCTATACAAAATCTGACAATTTTGCACAACCTGTAGCGTGAAAAAAAGTGCAGTCCCCATACTTTTTTATTATATTTTGGAAAAAAGCATGATAAAAATTACATTTTGACAAATTATTGAAATATTCTATGGCTTTTAATTAAGACCACTCATCCACCTTAAGGAGTTGTTCAGTATTTTATAAAATTGAGAGTGGAACCCGACCAAAGAGCAGAAAACAACACAAGGCGACCAATGGGTCTTCAACACAGCGATAGACTAGTTTGTTATCTAAAAACTAAAAATATGGAATTTAATGTTGTGGACAACAAAACTGCGAACATTTAAGCAAACCTTCACTTACATAGTTGACGAACTAAGTGTTAATTTTCAATGCGTTTTAAGTAGGATAAACAAATTGCATCCAGGAAGCAGATAGCACAAATTTATAACATCACTTGTAAACATGTATGATGTATAATTATAAGTTAAACAAAAACAACCATTGTATTTATTTCTTCAGAGTGATGAAATTCATAAGATAACAGTGACAGCCAGTAATAAACATTAGCGAAACACAGAAATGATGGAAAACACTTCCTGCCGTTGCAAAAACAATATTAAATAATCTGAATATAATGTTTCCTTGTTTTATTTGCATGCACGTTTTATGTTTAAAATAAATATGATTCTGATACATTAAAATAGAAACTTTACAATTGTTTTCCTAAAATCTGTTTTAACCACAAAAGAGTTATGTCGTACGTGTTGCATCACACGAATCATTCATACTTTGATATTTTTTCTTATGTCAGATAATTATTAAATGCTCTCTCATGACTGAGTATTATATCAAATTCAAAGTAGTTATGTACACTTCTTACCAATCAAGTGTTATATAACTACAATTTATATCCTAGTGTCCGTTACTCATTCAAATTGATTTCACTTTTCGATTCATCCTACAAATAATGTTATTATAGAACTTAACGTATTGAAAAGCATTATAAAGTGTCGGAATAGTCTTTAAGCAATTGATTCGAAACAAATCAAAACTGTAGTCTTTTCTAGTACTTCAAGTTATTATTCAAATTGTAAACACTATGTCTATAACCCTACAATGTATTTCTTAGTGTGAATTCAATTATCATACATATATTTGATTTATACGTTGTTTCTGCCATTAAACTAGTAAACATGTAGATTAAAATTGTATTATATTTAACGCGCGAGACTACTATACATATTTCTGTAATATGTATATGAATGTTATTTTTCTTGTTTTATAAAATGTTATGATTATATTTAAATGTGTAGTCTTTCGAAATCATGAAATAGATTTGAAACTAGTTTGACTAGGATGTGTTTTACCTGTTTCGCCCACATCGTCATGCCTTTGATAGACAACTTTCGTCAAAGTTTTCACGGCTTCGTTGAAAGGGAATTATTTCATATTTGGTGTACAGTTTGATAATGTTGAGTTTTGGCGACTTTCTGTTTGCCAATAGTTAAAAATATTACAACTCTGATTGTAGAAGGAAAATGTTCGTAAAAGTTTACTCGGCTTGATTGAAAGGAATGATTAGTTATGTTTCAGTATACATGTTGTTATGATATTGTTATTATCATGTTTATTTATCTTGGCCTAATTTGTTTTGTGTGGCCTTATAACATGTATAATATGCTTACATCATATTTACAAAATAATGTTATAATTGTGCATTTTAGAAATCACTGGAACAATCATAGATATAGATACTGATGGAATGATTAGAACTTTTTGACTGACATAATAATTCTGAAATGATCATAATATACGATGTGTAATTTAAACTTCCCTCATATTCTAGGAGTTTCCCTTCTACAGTGTTCTAGAAGTTTCCCTGACAACTACATATACAGACACCGAACTTAGACTGTTTTAGACATTAATTTACTTGGATTCACAGAAGTTCTCTGAAATTGTTGTAAACATGAATTTAAATTAAAACAATTGGAAAAAAAAATGGAAAACGAAGATAAAATAAAAAAATTGGTCACCTGATGGCTGATTGTTTTAGACTCTAGAAGAAGAATGAAAGAGATAATAAACCCAAATCCAGTGCTTGTACCACACCCCTTGTTACCTATAAGTTGGAATGTCCTGCGAGTCAGGCTTTTAAGTCCAGTTTTTGTCATTACATGGAGGATTATAAACCCTTTATGTCAGATGGGTTTGTTTCTATTGTTGATAATACTACTCTGCAGCCCATTAAGATTTTATGGGACACTGGAGCTTCTCAGACTTAGTTATTAGAAGGTGTGCTGCCTTTGTCCGAGGAGATTTCTGTTGGTGCCTCCGTTTTGTTACATGGTGTGGAGTTAGGTTGTATAGATGTTCCCCTCCATCGTATCAGAAGTCAGATTTAATTACTGGACCTGTGGGTGTTCGTCCTAATCTCCCTTACTGCTAGGAAAGATCTAGCTAGGAACAAAGTGGTTGGTGAACCAATTGTTACCAGCGAACCGGTTGTGGGTGTTAAATCACCTGAGGATGATGCTGAACTGTATTCAGCTTGTGTTGTTACTAGGACGCTATCAAGAAAACAACAAAATGAGGATTTACAAGAAGACCAGTATGATTATATGGACCTTTCTGACACTTTCCTTGCCGACATTGACGGTTCCTGTAGCTCAGAAAAGGCCATGATAAGACCACCTAGTACTAACAAACATGTAATTATGCAATGGCCAGAAGTGAACAGCCATTCATTAGACAGAAGAAAATTTGTGGAAGAACAAAATAAAGACAATGAGGTTCCTCGGCTCCGCAAGAGGGCTCAACCACAGGAGGAAGCAGACAAAGTGGCCGAATGCTTCTACCATCAAGACGGCATTTTAATAAGGAAATGGAGGCCTCTGATGCTATCCCTGAGGAGGAATGAAGAGTGGTATACCAAGTGGAGATGCCTAAAGTTTATAGGCAAGAAATTATTGGTCTTGCCCATGACACCCCCTTGGCTGGACATTTAGGTATAAGGAAGACTTGCCTTAAGATCTTGCAGCATTTCTACTGACCCAGACTTAAGGATGATGTCACACACTACTGCAAATCATGCCATATATGCCAGGTTGTTGGCAAGCTTAACCAGAAAATACGACCAGCACCACTTCTGCCAATTCCAGCCTTTGAAGAACCTTTCAGTCGAGTATTGATTAATTGCGTTGGACCTTTACCAAAGACCAAGACTGGAAATGCGTATTTATTGACGATCATGTGTACATCCATTCGCTTTCCTGAGGCTATTCCGTTAAGGAATATCAAGATACCAACTATTGTGAAAGCTCTTATAAAATTTTTCACGTTAGTAGGACTTCCTAAGTCTATACAGTTCGACCAGGGTTCAAATTTCATGTCGGGTTTATTTCAGCAGGTCGGTTACCAGTTCGGGATTGCTCATTATAGGTCAAGTGCTTATAATCCAGAATCTCAAGGTGCCTTAGAACGTTTTCATCAAACATTGAAGAACATGATTAGAACTTTTTGTCTTCAATTTGACAGAGACTGGGATGATGGTGTTCACTTTCTACTTTTTGCGGTCCGAGAGGCTGTTCTAGAATCCCTTGGTTTTAGTTCCTTTGAGTTAGTATTTTGTCATACTGTAAGGGGACCTTTAAAATTGGTTAAGGAAAAATGACTAACTGAACACACTGACTTGAATCTTCTAGACTATGTATCTAGATTTAAAAAAAAATGTATACTGCTTGTCAAATTGCTCAGAAAAACTTAAAAACTGTTCAAAATAAGATGAAAATATGGTATGATAAAGATGCCAGGGACAGAGGTTTTGAG